CCTGATTTGGGAATCCTAGGACTCCAGGCAGCAGTGCTGGGAAGATAGCCTAACAATGCTGCTGGTTAGCCAAACTAGTATCATTCTGGGTAGAATGATGTCAATTTCACATTGCTCCAAGGGTGGTATTTCTGGTTCCCTTATCCAGGTGCTAGCTGGCATAGTCATAAGCCAGTGTCTGGAAGAGACAGATCTGGGATGGAAGTCTTCTGGGGCATAGTTCTGTGTACTCTGTACTCAGAAGTTGATTTTGATGCCCAAACATCTGATTGCAGTCCACATGGCCTCAGTGTTATGTAAAAATTATTTTCCATGACCCATGATTAGTTGACAAAGAGCTGATCAGCCAACTAACTGGCCACAAGACAACAGGGCAGGACTTCTGATCCCAGTCACAGGGTCCCAAGAAATCAGGATAGAGGAGGAGAAGAAGAGGTGAAGAGACCATGTGCATGGACCAGGAGGATTCACCTTGAGGTCTCAATGAAAGAGCAGCAATGAACACACACATGGGCCAGAGCAAGCCAGGACAAGACCAGATGGCATGCAATGGAGCATTTGTCTGGGTATTAGCAGCCTACTCTGGTTACAGTAGCTCAGAACTCATACTCTATTATGCTTGAAGACAGGAACCTGGCATGACTGTTCTCTGAGAGGCTCCACACAGCAACCGATGGAAGCAGATGCACACAACCACAGCCAAACACTGGATGGAGCTTGGGAGTTTTGTGGGAGAGTTGGGGGAAAGACTAAGGGACACAAAGAGGATAGAAACTCCACAGGAAGACCAACAGAGTCAACTAACCTGGACCCTTAGGGGCTCTCAGAGACTGAACAACCAATCAAAGAATGAGCATGGGCTGGACCTAGGACCGCTCCATATATGTAGCAGATGTAATGCTTGGTCTTCATGCAGGTCCCCCAACAACTGGAGTGGGGACTGTCCCTGACTCTGTTGCCTGCTTGTGGATCCCATTCCCCTAACTGGGCTGCCTTGTCTGGCCTCAGTAGGAGAGGATGTGCCTAGTCCTGCAGTGGCTTGATGTACCAGGGTGGGTAATACCCTGGAGAGGCTTCCCCTTCTCAGAGAAAAAGGGGAGAGGGAGTGGGGAATGGGGTGGGAGAATTGTGTGAAGGGAGGACTGGGGAGAGAGGTGGAGCTGATATTGGTATATAAAGTGAATAAAATATATATATACTAGCTCAGCATCTGCCCAGCTTAGTGCTTGCAGCTTGTTAATAAATGTACCAGGTCTCTGTGACATTCATTTGGGAGCTAAAACAGGCCAGAGAAGGAGAAGAAATACCCTGCAGTTGGAGCAAAAGGGGCATGTGAACCCTCACAGACATTCTTTTACTGAAGTCTCTAGTTTCTCATAGAATAGTAAACAGCACTGTTCAGATGAGAACCTAAGGCTGGCTCATCAGACTGGCTCATCTCTCCTGCAGAAAGATTTGTCATTTTCAACAACTTAATGATGAATATATGTGGAGATTCAGAAGGCAAATGATAGCTGTCATATTCTGCAGTTTTGAAGTTATTTTTAAATTATTTATTTGTTTTTTGAGGCAGGGTCTCTCTACCTAGTCCTGGCTGTCCTGTAACTCACTATGTAGTCCAGGCTAGCCTCAATCTCACAGTGATCTACCTGTCAATGCCTCCCATGTGCTGGAGTGAAATGCATGCATCGTCTCACCAAGCATTTTAAAGTTATTTTAAAGCCAGCATTCAAAGGGACAGCTTTCATTATGGTATTGCCACACATATATCATTATACATCATTCTTTTTTATTTTGTCCCATTGCCCTCCCTTGTCTTTCCTACCCCAAACCTGTTCCTCTCCCTCCTGTCATGACATCCTTCCATCTTCTTTCATGGCACATGAATCATTACAGTCCTCCTTAGGCCATTGGTTCTCAACTTTCCCAATGCTGCAACTCTTTAATGTTGTGGTGACACCCCCCCCCTACAATAACTTCATTTTCATTGCTACTTTATAACTATAGTTTTGCTACTGTTATGAATCATAATGTAAATATCTTTTAGGAACACAAGTGTGTTGCAGGAGACTAAATGTGTTTAACTGCTTATAATTAAAGTGTTTTTTTAATCCTCCAGCAATGGCTGACAGATTTACCATAAGCCGTGTTTGTGGGACTGTAATTCGGTCATGCCCCCAGAGCCCAGAGAGAAGGTGGAGAGAACAAATCTCTGCCTCAAGATTTCCCTGGCCCCGCCCTTCTTCTCCTGCTTCTGATATATAAGCAAACACCTTCCGACATGTTTCCGGAGAGTTCTTTTATCATCCAAACCCACCGCCGTGACAATAAATCTGGACGTGTTCAACTCCACATGTCTCGTGAAATCTTGGATTCATTGTGTAAGCCAAAACCCACGCGAAGGGGTGGAAGTGGGAGAGAGCTAGTGAGCAGCCGGACACTTTCTCCTGGGAGCTGAGGAGAGCAGAGCGGAGGCGCGCAGGATGCTCTCTGCCCGCTTTTGTTCGAGCCCCAGCATCTCATCTGGCGCACAGCGTCTGGGTGTCTCTACAGCCGCTTATAGCAGAGAGTGCCACTGCCCTGACATCTGCGCGCAGGCTCATGGGCCCTGGCCCGCACCTGGGCCGCCCCGACGGGACCCGGGCGTGAGATCTGCCCGACACATGTTCTCTAGCCATGTCACACACACTGAGCATGGATGTGTACCTGAGGGTCTTTGCAAGCACATAAACATGAAACTACACCAGTTATTAGGATATCACTTTTCTTACTACATCAGAAAACATGCCTATTGTTGTTGTGTGTGTTCTACTCACCAGTGTGCGTGTGCGTGTGCGTGTGCGTGTGCGTGTGCGTGTGCGTGTGTGTGTGTGTGTGTGTGTGTGTGCATACATATGTGGAGACTACAGCCAACTTTGGGTGATTTTCTGTTGCCTTCAACCTAATATTATCTCCCACGTAACTTAAAGGTCTCCGTTTTCCCAGTCTGGCTGGTAGTGACACCTCTGGGCTCTGTTGGCCTCAGCTCCATCCTGGTGCTGGGGTTGCTGTCTCTCACAACTATCCTAACGTTTGCATGGATGATGGGAATCCAAGGCTAGGTCCTCTGCTGTGCAGCAAGCATGTTCCCTCTGAGCCATGTCCTCAGCACCAAGATGTCCCCAGTTCTTCAGTGTAGAGCCAAACTTGCCATTACCATGGCTGCCTCCAGTGTTACCTTCTGCTGCAGCTGGAGTACGGTTTCAGCATTTGGGTGTTCTGTGTAATTTTCTCCAGCTTCAATTTTGCCATCAGGTTCAACTTTCTTTGCATACCTTTCCTGATAATCTTACTTCTAAGTCTTCTGAAGACACATGTGATTCCTGTGCTAAAGTCATTTCAATCTGACTGGCCATCTTTCCAGCCCTGCAATCAATGGCTTTTGAGGCTGAGTGCTCTGATCAATGTTGTTATAGGAATTTGCTTGGCATTCTGACCGGGCAAGGGGAGTCTACCCCATCACTACACTCTCAAATAGGTCACAACCAAGAACAGGTTAGACCAGTGACAGGTTGCCCTCAAAGGTCTTTCCTCTTTGTCTAGGCTTTTGTGAAGACAGAGGGCACAGTTTCCTCTAACAGAATTGTGAGAAGAGAGGACAGCTCCCCCGAGTAAGACTGACAGCTCACAGTGTGCTATAATTTTTGTGTGTGCCATCCAGACCTTGATAGAATGCACACTCTTTCTGTGATTGCAGCCAATAGCTAATAATTGTAGACATAGAGTTGGCTCTGAGCCACAGGCACTGTTCTCTCTCCCAGCAGGGGGTTCATGCTGTTGATATCCTTGAATCCTGTCCTGTGTTGGAGTGTAGTAAAATGGAGACCAGCATGGCTTTCTGAAGTAAAGGAACATGCCAGCATGTGTGCATAGACAGTATGTGTCTGGCCTAATAAGCCTTGGGCACAAGGTGCCACCCAGTGATTCCTCCCCCTTCCCCTTCATCTCACAAGTTTGAGAGAATCATCTGTGCCAAGCCATAGAGCACAACTGCTGTCACCCCTGCACAGGCAGGTTGTAAACTTTGGTGACTCCCAAGGGGAGGAGACTCTAGATGTGGTACCAATGACATCATAGAACAGAGCACCTACTCAAGGAATAGCCTTTGATTTTACTTCTTCCCCATGACATTTGCCTGGATGAAGCAGCTGTACCCCAGGCTCCCAGCATGACAAAGACTGTGGAGTACAGCAGAAGAGTGGAGGCAATTGAAAAGCAAAAGCCCAACCAAGGAGGCCATGGCTCTAGTTCCTCCCTGAGGTTCAGAAGATAGATTGTAAGTTTGTTAGAGATTCAGGAAGTCTGCTGGGAGGTGGTGTCTTCTAGATATGTTAGGTAAGTGCACTCACAAGAGCTCAATGATAAGGGTCCCAAAGCAAATCTCCCAGGGCCGAAGCCTTAGATGAAGAGCTGCAAGCAACTGATGACCGATTCTGGAAGGTGGAGAATCTGTCTTTTCAAGAGATGTGTCCCCCAACTGGATATTCAATACCAGGTGGTCAGCCCCGGAGACATGAAAGCAACACTAAAGACACTGAGAAGGTTTTATTTATATATTTGTTTATATACATGCATGTATACAAAAAACAGGGAGGGTACTGGTCATGGACAGTTTTAAGAAGGAAAGGGGTAGGGAGATAGAGAAAATGATGGGGCAGATTTGAGGGTAAGGGAGTATGAAAAAGCCATATGGCCAATCCACTAATAGCTTTCCCTCTCATAGCAACTATCCACTGACAATATCTTCTTAGCTATGGGTAGGACTTCATGCCAACCCTCTCTTTGTTGGGATTTTGTCTTCTTCCAGCTTGTGCTGACCTTGTGCATGCTGCCTCAACTGCTGTGATTTCATACATGCAAATGCCCTGCTGTGTCCAGAAAAAGACTGTTTCCAGGTAGTCACCCACTGTGGAAGGGGTAATGGAGCTAGGAGGAGTTAGGAGAGTGAATTAATATGATCATCATTCCTTGTACAACTAAAAAAAATAAAAATGAGAGAGAAAAAGATAAAAGCTCTCTATATCCCAATAATCTCGTAAACAAACTTAAAAGTTGGAAGGGCAATACCTTACATGGTTGGAAAAAGCTCTCCTTTGAAGCTATAGGTAATTGTACAAAATCTCCATTGCCAAGATGAAGTGGAAACTTCCAGTTTCTTTGGAAAGTTAGTTATGTCAAATGATGTTTTGCTGGGACACACAGATGAAAGGATGTCTTTCTAAATCAAACACATGAAAAGCTGTTTTCCTGAAGCAGACACAAGTGAAAGGACATTATGCTATAGCAAACACATGGAAGGACTTGTGATGAAGGAGTATAAATATGACCCCACAGACAGTGGGAGCACTGAGCCTTGATTTGGTTTGCTCTGTCTTGCTATTCTTCACAAAAGACATGCTTGTATTGCTTCACCTTACATAACGTTGTTGAGCTCAACTTGTAGTAACACTGCCATTGAGAGGAACTCACCCAAGAACTGCTTGTGAGGTTACTGCAGAGGCTTGCCATTTCTGTGGCCTTGCCTCAGGCCAGTTGGTGCGGCTGGTGGTTTCTCTAGGGTTGAAGTACAGCTGCCTGGTGTCTGCCAGCTTAATGGACTGGTCTGCAGCTGCTGAGTCATATTTGGTGTTTGCTAGGGGACTGAACTGCTGCCAACCAAGATCAAGCTTCCCCTACCCCCAAAGAACTATTTCTGGACAGGTCTGCTTCCCCCATATCCTAATAACTTTTCTCTTCCACTGTCTTTTCTGGGTGGTGGGCTAGAGGAGCGGTTGAACTCTTACTAAAAAGTAGGTTGCAAAAAATGTACGCCTACACCAAGAACAGGATTGCGCAAGGATCTGTTAATCAGGGAGCCCCTATTGGCTCAAGAAACAACACTTCTTGTCCTTGCTTTTAGTTACCCATCAGAACTAGGTGGTAACACCTGATTGCTGAAGACACGACACACTGAGAGTCACTTGATATAGAATCATGAAGATGGTGCTGTGTTGGAAGCCTCCTTCCTGTCTGACAGCTTTTGTAATGTCAGAAAATACTAGTTAGACTTTTGGAGGAGAAAAATATTACTCAGCTGTGAATCCAACTATGATATCAACCTTCTAGGAAAGATTCTATAGTGGGATGGATGTTATGGGGTGACTAATATGCTCTCTGATTGGATTGGAGGGATACAAATGTTATGGGGGTGACCAACATGCTCCCTGATTGGATTGGAGGTATTCTTCACAGGAGAGGTTCCATATGTGATACCATAATCCCACTCAAAATCCATGGCACGGAAGTCATAGAACCTGGTGGTGTGTTGTGTGAGCACACATAAATCTGTGGTTTAATACAATTAACAAAGCATTGGACCACTTTCTAAATACATGTGTTTATACTCACAGACAGTTAACACTCTTGTCTTTAATCAGAGAGGCTCCTCTTTGGCTGAACTGCATTGAAGGCCAAGAGGTATAAGAAGCACAGGGTGCTGAGAACAAGGGAGGTTTTTTTTGTTTTTGTTTTTACCCAGCACTAGATAAGACACTTAGGTATCTTCTCCTAGGCTCTGGAAACATTTCAAAAGAGTGGATGGAAAGATTGTAAGAGCTGACAGGTACAATGAAGTAGCATTGTAAATGCCATCTTCTGTGGAAGACACAGCCACTGTAAGCAGGAACTTGCAACTCTGGAAGACTGTGCTGGATCTGCACAAGAATGCCAGGAAAGGATGGAGGAAGGACTGAGGGAGCTCTGTCTTTCACTTTTGAATTGTTTCCTTTGGATAGACTGGGGGGGGAATGGTTTCAGTACCTTCAGCTGTGTGCCATTGGTGACCCCATCAGGCTACAGTTAATGTCACACTTCAGTGTTACACAGATGTCTCAGAATACTGGAAACCAACCAGTATGGAGGATAAGGTGTTTGTTGGGGTGGTAGGGGGTGAGGGGTAACAAGAATGCATTATATACTGTTGTTCTTCCTATGGGGTTGCCAGGAAGGGACGGGTAAGGGGTTGGGGTGGAAACCACTCTCTCAGAGGCAAAAGGGAGGGGTGATGGGGTGAAGAACTCTTGGAGGGGTACCAGGAAGGTGAACAACATTTACATTGGAATGTAAATAAAGTAAACAGTAAAGAAAGAATGCATTATATATACAGCTGTGAAACCATCAACGAACTAAATAATAATAGTGGAAAACACTATCCAAATGACTTATTACAAAATATCAGGTTCTGAGATGACTTGAAACTCTGCTCTCCAAAGTGGTCTAGAGGAAGTCATATCTGTCTGAGAGATGGTGGGCTTGAAACTCCTGTGGAGAGAGGGACATGAGGAGTATAGGGTGGGAGACAGAGACACATGGACTGTCTTATATATAGCTACCCAGATATGGGAAGGTGGGGCCTCAGCAGAGACTGCACTCATGGGGGTGGTGCTCAGACACCCATACTCTGTCCTTGCCTTCTCCTTCCTCCACCTGGGCTGTAACAGAAAACTCACCTTGGCACAGATTATGGAGATGGGGGAGGTTCTGCAGTTGGGCTTCATGCCTGGGACTTTGAACCTAATGACACCCTGATTCTGGGACTCCAGGCAGCAATGCTGGAAACAGGGCCAGTAGATACAGTGAGAGCCACAGAGACTAATGCTGTTCACAGGCAGGATGGTGTCATTGTCACAGCACTGCATCAAGGGGTTGTACATCTGGTCTCCACATCTGGGTGCTGGCTGGCAAAGCAATAGACCAGCATCTGGGAAGAGTGACAGCTGGATGATCTACATGGGCCAGCCTAGGACTCCCATCCGCAGCCATGCTCTCCCTCCTCGCTGAGTGGTCCTTCTCACCTGTGGCTCCTGCTGAGTGCAGGAGGGCAGAAACCAGGGCTGCGGCTGAGACAGACAACAGAAGAAAGAAGGATGTGTAAGATGCAGTCAGGATGAAGGCCACAGGATAGTGCCACTGAGTAATTTATTTGAGGTGGACAGCTCATGGGAGGTTTGGGACTGACCCTGGGTGGTGGTGCAGGTCTGGGATGACCTGTGAAGAAAGGCAGGGAGGGATCCTGGATGAGAGTGATTTTAAAAGTCACAGACACAGGGCTTGCAACACAGGAGGGTAGCAAGGATGCTTGGCAGGGGTAGGGGTACAGGTGTGGGGCTGAAAATGGAGCTGATAAGAAAGGCATGAGTTTGACGTTGAGAGGTAAAGGATGATGCCATAACATCTATGTTCCCTGGGGCTACTATCTCCTTACCTAGTATCCTAGTCACCATCGTCTGTTTCTGCTGCAGAACTGTAGGAGGCAGAGCAGGAGCTGGAGCCATGGTAGTAAAGATTCTGGAACCTTCAGCTGTTATTTATACAGTGATCTCATAGGGGTGGATCAGAAAGAATAATAGAGGGTGGGGGAAAAGTATAAAAAAGATCCAGGAACCTGATCCAATGTCTGTCTCAACATGAAGGTTCCATAGCAGTCCTAAACTTCTAACTAAAGCAAACATCTTTTGGAAAGCAAGAGAGGAAAATCCTATTGGAAGAGATATCCATTCTCTGTGTGTAGTCTGCCAGCCAAAACACTTGGCAGTTTCTAGGCTTCTCATACTCCACATAAGTTGCAAGTTTTAAGGGCTCACCCTGCCCTTACATTCACCTAACCCTAAACTCTGTCATTTAAAATTCATCAGTTATTTAGTAGAGATTATGATGTTGGAATATGATCCAGAAGAAGAGAGGCTTCAGAATCTGGGCTAGTGAGAATAAAACAGGAGAATATAATTTTAGGTATGACCCTTGGGACACACAGAATAGGTAGAAAGGCAGTGCTTTTGTTGGTTTGCTGGTTTGCATGCAGCATTCCTTGTACAAAGAAACACTTTATAATGTGTTGTACTGTTATTTTATCATCGACATCTTGATTGCATCTGATAGAAATTTAGTTTTCTTATTAATAGTGTAGTATTGTTCCTCTTTGTGTCTCTGTGAGTTACAGAACAACTTGTGGATACTGAAGCAAGGTGTCAGAGCTTCAGAGTCAGGGTGTCCAACCTTCTGATGCTTCTGGAAGGAAAATCATCCTGAGCCACACATTCAATCCAGGAACACTAACAGAAAGGTAATGAGAATGAGAAGGTCTGTGCTGAAAAGCTTCAACACAATAATTCTCACTATTGGGCCATTCCCTGTGGAGAGTTTCAAAACCCTCAAGCAGGTCCCAAGCCTTGGACCATACCTAAACAATAAAATGTGATTTTAAAAAAATACTATCAAAGTGAAAGAAAGCAAGGTAACACAAACCCAGTGGAAATTTTGACTCTGCATTTGAGAAGCAAATAAAGGCACCAGTGTTCAGTGAGTCCTCAAAAAGCGACTCAGAGATTTTGGTTCTGCTTTTAGTCTGACTGTGCTTCACTCTCTAAACATTTGCTTCTGCAGGTATTTGTTCCCAAATAGCAATGATGTGATGTGGCATGGATGTGACACCAATAGTTAGCTCTGAATGACAGGACCTGTAAGTCTTGTAGAGTCATGGTGCAGCTGTCTTGAAGTTGCGTTCACTTTGCAGCTTTATTCATTCTGTTTCGAAATCAGAAGGAAGTATGCACATGTCAACAGAAACAGACCCACAAATATGCTAAAGTATTATTGCCCCTGAAATTTTTAAATCTGTTTTCAAATTCTCTCATCAAATCAAGAACGAGACTACAGGACCCACTTGGTTGGAGAAAATCAACTCCTGTGAGCTGTCCCCTGTTCACATGCATATATTAATGAAGAAGTAAATAAATAGAATTCAAGTGTTTCAAATAGCCAAAAGGACTTTGTTGGGCACCAGCACTTGTGTGCATAAAGACCTGCCCACACGTACACAAAATTTAATAATAAAAACAGCCAAGAGAATCAATTTTCCCAGGAATGTCAGAAAAAAATTGCAGTGGGCAGATCACAAAAATAGTTGGTGGGTTCCTTTTGATTACCACTTGTTGCCCTTATACTGACAGGTGGGGTTGATAGGCAGTTGAAGTACAGGTAAACACCATTTCAAATTCCCAAGAGAGAAGTGAAACTCTCCCAGTAAAAGATTTCTGTTTTCCATTCTGTGGGGCTGAGGAGTTGGAACATTCTGGGAAATGGCAGTGCCTTCTCTGGAAGGATGCCTGTTAGAGCGCTCAGCAAAGACAAGTCGGGATAGCCTTTCACACACCAAGAGCATAGGGGAATAGTCGGTAGGCTGCTTTTCCTAAACACCAACTCTTGAACATGTTCATCCGTGATTAGAACTCTAGATTATTTCTATGTAGACAACAAAAAGTGAGGGCTCTTTGGAGGTATTTTTGTTCCTGCCTGTTTCTTGGGTATGTTTTTTCTAAGCTCATTCTTTTAAAACTTCAAGTACAAAACATGTCTTCAATTTACTATTTCATCCACCCTAGTGTGTGCTAATATTTTGCCTGTGCTCCACCCCACTCTCTTGTGTGCCATCTGGCCCACTGTGGCTCCTGGCAATGTGTGCTCTTCAGGCTGCGCATGTGTTCCACCTTCACACTGCACCAGTCCAAAGCCCAGAGCCTGTACCGGTGCTCCCACACCCCTGGCCCACTCCCACAGCTGGCGTGCTCAGTTTCTCAGTTCATATCACAGTCCTGGACCTGCCCAGACATACTTTCCATCACCACGGTCTCACGGCTCAGCTGTCAGCTCTTTGGTTCTTTCCATTGTGGTTCACACCAACTCTAAGCCAAGTGTTTCTCTGCTAATGCAAAATGTGTTTTGCTTTTTTTATATACTATGCAACTTGTCAAAGTTATTTAATGATAAGATGTTTATTCCTATCCTGCTTTGATAAATGATTTTTACTATTGCCACTAAATTATAGTGTGCTATATTCACTATATACATTCTCAAGCAACTGATTTAATAAACGCATTGTCTAACTCAGATATGACCAATCGATATAGTTCTCAATCTTGTCAGAAGTATATATATATATATCTTATGACATATATGTCATAATGCTTATGACAGACAGAGACTCGAAAAACCTAGCAGCTTATCCCACAAGGCTTCAGAAGATATGGATGTGGCTACAAGAGACTGCCTAGACTGTGGAATGAAAACCACTGAAAAGCACCATCATCGCCCTGTCTGGGATTGATCTACACTGTGGAAAAAAATTAGAGAGTCAAACGCCTCATATTGCTTAAGTCAAGGTGAGTCATTTCTCATTTCATGCATTATCTAATCCACAGAAAAGAAGCCCTGCATCTTCTGGGCTTGAAAGCCAGAAGACTGACTCTTCCCAAGTTGTCACAGAGACTACAGGGAACTGCTTGGACTATAAATTAATTCTGTTATTTCTTAATTAATATAAGACTGCTAGATTATTATCTACTCTTCCTCAGGTTTCTGACTACATTGACAGCTAAGATAAGTAACTATAGCTTGACAGCTAGACAAAAGATCTAGCTCCTTACCTAAACTCATTTTCTAGCAACTAGTTCAGATGTACGTATTCACAGATGCAATCTTTTATTTCCTTACCTAAACTCATTTTCCTCTTCTTGTTGTGCCACTGTCCTAACATTATCCGAGTCCTTATAAATTTGACTAACTCTAATAAAACGTTTCAACTATATGGTCCAACTTTTTTAATCACAAATTCTTGTTCCTTCTGCTCACAAAAAGCTCATCTTAAAGACTGTTCATGTTGTTAGCTCATGTTGTTATTCCGTTTATAAAATTATAAGGTACAGGAAACCCACTCAGATCTACCTCTCATGGACCAAATAGACTCCATCCAGATAAGTACATCTGCTGATCAGTGGCCTGAAGTTCCTACTTACTACCTAGTCTAGAGGGTAGGATTCCTTTCAGTTTCAAATGTACATAGACCAGCCTCTGAAGCTGACCATCTCGAAACAACAGCAGGGTGGGGCCAATGGCTCAGCTCCTACTCTGCCTCCTGATGTCCTCCTGATTCTGTGAATGTGAATCTGTCCCAGCTCAGGCTTTCTGATCTTGTCACACAAATTAATCTGGGAGCAACATGGAGGCAGATGTAAGTGTCTCTAGGAGTCTCGGGTAGTTATTCATGTCAAAAGGTTAGATATTGGGTAAACAATTCTAATTGTGTGGGCATTCTTTGTATTGAACATTTGCTAATACATAAATCCATTGGATAATCTTTAAGCATCAACAGTCTTCTTTATATCAGGTACTGGAAAAATATATCTACCACATGGGGTTGGCAGAGTTGGCCCTTGTGCCATGCTTTGAGCCATAGACTCCACAGAACTGACTGGCAGAGACAGCAGCCATGCTAATGTCTCATGAAGCCAGGGCCGGTGCTCTGAGGCTGGTGCCTCTGCCGCTGTTAGTATGGGAACATGGTGGAGGTTAGGAGCTAGCTGGACTGCTGCCACTTATAGCAATACCTCTTGCTACAGGATATTGCTATTCTAAATATCTCTGCGTCAAACACCAGGGCAGCCAAATTAACAGAAGAAACAAATAGACCTAACAGCACATACTGACCCTTACACAGTGATACTGGGTGACTTCAGTACCCCACTCACACCAACAAAGAGGTCATTCAGATGAACTAAATAGAGACATGGTGGAGGTGATGTTATCAACCAAATGGATCTAGCAGGCATCTTTAGAACATTATGTCCAAATACTAGAGATCCTTTTTTCAGAAGCCTGAGGAAATTTCTTCAAAATTGAAAACAAATTTGGACACAAAGCAAGTCTCAACAGATATAAGATAATTGAAATAACACACTACACCTTGTGTCTGACCACCATGGATTAAAGCTTGATATCAACAACAGAAACAACAGAAAGTTTGCAAACTGATGAAAACCGAACAATTCACTAATAAATGAAATGGATCAAGACTGAAATTGAGAGGAAATTAAACACTTTTTAGAATTGGATGCCTGTAAGCATTTGCAGAGATTCCCCACAACTGATATCCAAAAGTGAGGGTCATGACCACTGGAAAAGGTAAGAAAACTTTTTAATCCGATATTTTATTTATTTAGATTTCAAGTGTTATCCCGTTTTCCGGTTTCCCCTCTACAAACTCCCTATCCCGTCACCCCTTACTCTGCTTCCATGAGGGTGCTCCCCCACTCCCATATCACCTCACTGCCCTAGCATTCCTCTATACTCAGGCATCATCAAGCCTTCACTGGACCAAGGGCCTCTCCTCTCATTGATGCTAGATAAAGGCCCTTCAGCTCCTTCAGTCCTTCCCCAGTTCCTTCATTGTTGTCCCTGTGCTCAGTTCAGTGGTTGGCTGTGAGCATCTGCATCTGTATTG